TTTACGAATGCGAACCTCGGTTGTCCAGTAAAGATGAGTATTCATTTTTTATTTTTTACTCCTTTTGCAATTAAGGTTCTACCATCTCTACCGTATTCGCTATATAACATTTAACGGTAGATTAAACTTTTATGGCGAGATTCCATTACAAAATTTGACAATTTCACTCGAGAGATGCAAACATCACATTTCCACTAAATTAGTTTAACTTTAATAAAATCACTAAAGCTTAACTACAAGAACCCCTAAGCAAGATTAGCTTTCATTGCTGCAGCAGACAAATATATTCAATTCAATATATAACCCAATTTGTGTAAATAATTCCAATTTCGATCCCATTCGCATTCGTTTAGTATCCATTCTCCAGATATTTGGCTCAAGATTTTCTACCCACAGGTAATCGCCCTAGGCAGATCATGTTATATTTAAATTATTATCTACTGTAATATCATGCCTTAAAGAAACAGGAAATTATATAGCAAAAATTGGCTACTATAACTATTTTAACCTTGAATCATTAATATCTGGTCGGACTCATAAGTTAGTGCACTTTTATTATATATATTTTCACGATGTCCCCGTTTTAGCGTGTCGGTTCCTTATCTAACCTGGCAAGATATTTATATTTTTAGAAAGACTAGTAACAAAAATATTCATTACTTCGTATTGCTAGAACAGTTGGTAAACAAGGTACATGAATATAAAAAATCTGGACCGCTAAATGTAAATGAAGTAGCCCATTGCTCACCAAGATAGCAGCTGAAACTCTGGGATTACAGATTATTGCGCACACATTCCAATTTTGTGAATAAAAGATAAAGTTTGCAGCCTCATCCTATATTTACTTAATGGGGATAACTTAATTAGGAATTTATAGTGTTCTTAATATATGTCAGAATAGACGCTCACTAATTCAGACTATTGTGGGAGAAAAATAAGGTCAAATGAACTAAAGTTGATACGTCTATCCTCGTGGAAAATAGTTCCTAAGCGACTGTCGCTGGTAGTAAATTAAAAACTTGTTCAGTCTTAAAAAAACAAGCAAGACTTCACAAGCCTACCATGCGGCATGAAAAGATGTACAAACTGGATTGCTCGAATGTTTATTGTATCAGCCTTAATGACTACAAACTAAGGGACATTGAGGCGACGGAAAGTATAGTCAATATAAAGATTAAAGAATCCTAACGATTCTAGTAACATAGGAAATAGTGCAACTGATTTATCTGATCAGCCACAACATCATCTAAAATTCTACTTATAGAACTACCTCATACGGCGAAAGTAAAATAAAAAAAGGAGCTAAAACGTACGTCTTAAGTGTAGATCAAACCGTATTACGTTAGGATCGGCGAAGGCTTATTATTTGGAAGAACTAGGATAAATAGCAACAAACAAGAGCTACAGAGAGATGTTCGATTTAAAGATAAGACCTTAGCAATAGGGAAGAATATCACACAAAAATGGCTCTTTTTGAACAAATTGGAGCCACGATAAGGTGACTAATAAAATTTTTAAAACCAAGAGGCTGCTTCATTATCCACTAAGGAATACAAAGGCAACGATTCACTACTATCTTCACATGTTTTACTTAGCGCTGGGGTCAAGATCAATTACCAATTTACACAAGTTTTGCAAAAGAGACCAAAGGCATAATCTCATTTCTTATGTTATACGTTTATTCGTGGAAGTGGTATAGACCGGGCCGTGGAGCCAAGCCATCCACGCTTCTAAGTTGGATAAATTTTAGTCATGTGGTTAATTTGGGCTAAATTTGTAGATCGATAGCCTTAACGACCAAAAGTTGTGATCAAATCAAAAGTTGGCAACCAGAGGAGAAAAATTTCACACTATTCCAAAGAAATGACGCATCATCTATGGAATAGTAAGCAAACCAGAATTAGGGCTTAAGGAATGTGATCAGGTATTCGGTAAGATAACAAGTGATAATTTAAGTCCGAGTCAAGTTTTTTTTCGCCGTCCTCGTTATAACTAGTGTATTCATTGTCGGGGTCGGTCATATGATTCCCTGAGATTGATTTGATGCATTTAACATTTTAAATGACCTCGTTTTCGCAACTTTATAGGGGCGGCAAGGAGACCTTGTGGGATGTACCTGTTGTTTTCCTTGGAAGGATGTGGATGGTCCCTAAAATATAAAACGCTTGCTCTACAGTTCCAAAGATGGAGGCCCCGAAACGAAGAGAAAAAAGGAACAATTAGTATTACCAATTGTCCTATCATGAAACGGCCGAATACGATATGAGGGAGCTGACAATAGAAAGGCAAGCGTTGAAATATAGCGCCAAATATAACCTAAACCACGCGGGCCACGGCGGGGCGGAGAAAGAGAAGGAAAAGAATGTAATCGATTTAGCCACAATGTTAGCTACTCGATGTACCCTTGCGTAGTTTTCCGTGTTAACTTATGATTGGATGATGCGGTGACAAGCTTTGATTGGGCAACGCGAAGTAAAGATTAGTCACACTCACGTGATCTCTGCGCCAAAATATTTTGAGCAACTACTGTGTATGGGATGTAACGAAAACTAAACATTGAGTCGGAAGTGTAGGGGATGGGCCACAACATACCTAGTTCTGTGTCCTCTGCCACAGTACTCATGCTCATTCCCAGCATCGGACGGTCGACTTGGTACACTTCCAAAGGTTTTGCCGGCATCGTCAACAAGAGGTACCATAGCACAAAATTACGATTGAAGGCAATTCATTTGACAAATTTTTTCCTCAACTGTTGTGGCAGTTGCTACATTAACAAACTTCAAAACAGGGGACCCTCATGCATCTGGTTGCACAGCTTTACCTTGAGTACCATTGCACATCTTAAATGTGATATATCCAGCCCGAGTCGCATGTGATAAGGATAATAGAATTTTCCCACAATCATGAGTAGGTCTGACGTCCCCACCGGATTTTACATATCCCTCCCTGCAAAAAAGTATTCCTAACCAGAGTGGACTGCAGTTCTGACCTCGCCTGTCTTGTGACATGGACATTCAGCAGTCTGGCGTGGTGACTAACACGTACAAGCTCTGTGTTGCACCACCTGGAGGTGTTTAAGAGATCTGGACAAGATCGGATCTGTGGTGAAGTCGAGATTAAAACGCTATGCGAAACTCATTGGCCTAGTAATATGATTGTTGGAAAATTAATCTGTGGCCCCCTATACAACCTAAGGCAAAAGCAGATCATAATTCACATATAGCCGTATTTCCGACTTGAATATTCGTGTCTATTTCGAACTGACTTTTTGAGAAGAATTCTTATTATCGGAGGTTGTATGTAATGCTTATTTCTGCACATTTATCAAGAAATTAAGGCAGTGCTCAATTGTGTCAGGACGGTATTTGTGCATTGGTGGGGCGACGACCAAATTCATCTCTTAACCATTCTAATCGCTGGACAAGCTGAAAATGATGAATTGGACCATTCACTTGAACTATCTGGGCAAAATAAAGGCAGGTCCGTATGACTTAGTCGATTTGTAAACTGCTGGCCGTGCAAAAACTAAAGTATCCTCTGCTTCAGTTTTAATTCATGCGAATGAAGTTAATCAAATTAGTCCGAGCTGAACAATCGACGTGGCGAGCTCACGGTGATTCACTTATACAGCTACCATGTCTATTGAAGTTGTTATGGGACATTGCATCTAATGCAATATACTTTATTTCGCAGGATGATTTCTTTTAACACTGGCCATTCACATCGACCTTTGCCACTACCTAGATTGCTGATCAAATAGTCAGGTCACCATGCGAGAGGCATTAAGTTGATGTACAAAACAAGTAATTAAGCAAGAACACCGAACAAGACAACGAACGCGACGCCAGTTACTGCCTGAAGAGGTCTGCTTCCCTAAGTTCCTCCACTACAAATACCTTAAACTTACTGCTCCCATGCATGTCGTATAGAAACTCTACGACTCGACTTCCGACACAGTCGAACATCAGAACATTGTAGCACAGAATGTTGTTTGTAGTAAAAAAATAAAAAGCCTCTTGGTTTAAAGAAAATTTGGCTCCTCTGATTACTGAGACTATCACTTTGATTTCGTGCGTCCGCTATGCAAACACACGTATGCATGTGCTATGAGAAAACGGCCCCATGCTAATAAAATATATGAAGACCAAGATGGTGCGACCTCTGTTACGGTCGCAGTATGTTAATTGAATAGTTTTATGGGTAATCATGGTAAGGGAGGCTAGCCGGTTACCTCGCTTAGCTTCTAAGTGCGGGGCTGGCTTGAGAATGCCTCCTTGGTCGGGTGATATGAAAACTGCATGATTTAAAAATAGCCGAAGCATATCTCAGGGACTACATCAGCTTGAACGTCTTACTAAAGAAAAATGGCAGATCATGGGTAACCCGGCGTAGTTTGATTAGATCTAACTGCAAATTTCATCACATTCAAAATGAAAATCAAGCAAAAACCATCTAGTCCTTCCGTGCGAATAGCTAAATCAGACCTAATTTTACTGAACACGACCGAGAACACCAGTTTTCCAAAAATAACCAAAGGGCCCTTCCTTGGCGGTCTCGAGTTTCGACGATGTTAGAGAATAATACAAAGCCTTGTCAATTTTAAGATCCACTACTGTTTTGTAAATTTAAATTATCTTGTAAACATGAGAATGGAAACTGGAAGATGTTCGAATATATTTTTCGTCTACTTGAGGTATTGCAGGCGCTCTATTGCATATTTGGATTAAGTAATGCAAGTGTTGATTCCCTGGTAATAAGCGAAAATTGAAGTATCCAATAGTATAAGCTTACTCGTATTGGAAACTTAAAAATGTCTACCAATCTTAAGGTACGGGGTCTTTGTTAGGTCTAGCGAAATCCCAAAATATAGTGTTTTTCAAGGCATTCTTTGCGAGTAGAAAATTTAAAAGCGGTAGAAGGGATTACTCACTAAGAACATGACTATATGCAAGCAAAAAGACAAATCATAGTAAAAACCAATAATGATCCAGATAGCCAAATCAGGTTGAGCTAGTGAAGTTGGCGTTGTGCTCTGAGCCTGTGGTCTCCATGCCTTGGGCATTCTTCAACTTGTCCACAAAATAAGGATTCGGAATGCTTTTGTTAACAGCCCACACCTAAAATGGAAACATTCAAGGATAAGGCACACATGCTTTTCATACTGAATACTGCTATTATTTATGTATAATTGAATAAATAAGCCGATATTAAATGAGTATACCTATGGTCTGCCAGGAAATAAAATAAATTGCTAAATGGAGAAGGAAAGACAAGCAATCTGTGAGATTTCCAAAAGCGAAATGAAGAAAATAAAATTATAAGAGTTAGGGCTTCATTTCCATCGAATGCAATCGATGCAAGGAAAAGAATGGGAATAGGAGGAGAAACTAATTAAAGAGATGGAAATCTTGCACAACTCAACAATAGAAAAATTAGAAAGACCAAACGACAGCTATCTGTCTAAATTACCTGAAGAAGCGTCTCGCTGAGCGTAATCATTTGTGGTAACACCTCGGCTACATGCAAGTCTTGCATTTCATACCATTTTCCTGTGCCACGGTGCATAATGTGGACTCTATATGTACCTGAGCCAGGCACTGGAGGGCCATCGTGCACCAAGTTGCCGATGAGATCATATGTGGTGTATCTGAGGGATAAAAAAAGATCAATTTAACCCAAAAAATTTTCTATAGTCAATTATACAGTCAGAATTTGGCTGTTATTTATTTTTTTAATTGTAAAAAATATGACCTCGGAGTTAATAATAAGAGCCATGAAATTAGGATTGAAGCCCTATATTGAGAAGCATCCTGCAGACTTGCACAACATAAAACTGGGAGTCGAGTCCAAAGATAACGTAGATTCGATAGCCATTATATTGATTATTCTGTTAAAGAAGAGTCAATAGAGAAATAAGAATTAATGTCAAGCCTTGGTATGCTGTTGCGCAAAAGTTATGCTTCAATGAGTTGATAAAATATTCAGAAGAGTATTCAACTGCTATAAAAAAGACGATTTAGCGATCAAAGCCAATCTCTGATATGCCGAGATTTTATAGAAGCCTTTGCATAACATATCCACGCATTCGCTCTATTTGGCAATATTATAAGCCTTGTATTTAAGGCA